GATATAGTAAAAGTTTGTGACAAAAAGTTATTTTCTATAAAAGTTACCTACTGCAGCTTTAACATTTTGACCAGTAAGTAAACAAATCTATATGAATGTCTTTTTTAGATTTTTCACAACCACATATATATTTTTATTATTTTTTTTCTTTAATTTGGCATCGAGTACAACAAACATTTGACTCCTGTCCCAAAGTTCCCACAAAAGCAACAGGCATCAGTGTCTGCGTATCTACGCCTCTATAAAGTTATTTTCTTCCTGAGATCAGAGATCCAGCCATGATTCTGAGTCAGCCAGGTCTTCCCCTGCACCTCTTGACCGCTGAAACGAGAGCAATGACATTGAATTATCCAAACAATTCATCTGCAGAATGGAGGAACAGTTTAGCAGTAATTTACCAGGGGATGCAGGGCATACGGTGAAAAATAGCTCTGAAGTAATGGTTCCATTTGTACTGTGCAAACTAACTTTATCAGCAGGCTAGCCTGAGGGAGAGGAATAGAGATGAAGCAGACAGATAAATAAGAGAGAGGGATGGAGACAGAGAGAGAGAGGGGAGGTCATCAGTTCTCTGGAGACTGGTAAGATTCATAGATGTGTTCTGTATCAATAATGTAACGAGGAAGAGAGAGGGAGGCAGGACAACAGGAAGAAGGAGAGAGGACATGCTGAGAGAGAGAAAGAGGGAAAGAAACGAAGAGGATGAGAGAGAGTGAGAGCTGGATGCAGTGAAATGTAGAAAAGGCCACAGTGAGGCTCCAACCAGCTGCTGCAGCTGTTGTCATCGACCCGAGCACTCTCTCATCGACTTCAGCACAATTCAATTCATGCAGCTTTATTGACATGATGAGGCCTCTCTTACTGTACATTACCACGAGTGTCGGTACAAAACACAACATCAATACGTCTCAACTGAGACTACACAGACCACCAAGAACCCCAGCCATTCATCTAAAGTGTTTGTCTAAAAAATTCAAAATAAAGTTAAAATATCACTTATTGGTTAGACACTGACAATTGAAATGTGTCTGGTTATATGATCATATATGAAGAGAAACTACAGTGGTGGGTAATGGGCCAAAAGCAAACATATTGTAACATTATAACATAACGAATTGTATTGTTATTAGGCAAAATGCCAAAATCCCAAGTTCCCTTAATTGACTTCAGTCAGTCTGCCCACTATTACTGTATTACTATTATTACTGTTATAGAAATATAATTAGGAATTGTACGTATTTAAAGATCATTTTGAAATTTTAAAAAATATATAATATATATATATGTATATATATATATATTTTTTATTATTATTTTATTTTTTTTATTTCTTTTGCCAAATCAAACCATATGGCGGTTCAACTCTGGCCCAGAGGCCCCACTTTGGGCAGCCCTGATGTAAAGGAATATAATATCCGTCTAATGAAGACCTTGCATCTCCAAAATGTCCATGTTTCTGCAACAAGGACATTGTATTTTTAGCTTGACATCCATAAATATCTGAGTTTATCTAATGCCCTCTAAAAGGTTTTCATCAGACCAGGAGTGACTGTGCTTTCTCACCCCTTAAAAGAAAACTGGAACTGTGAAACAGCAACAGGGAGATATTATGGGATTACAGGACATCAGAATGAGAAATTAAATTCACCAAGTACATACATATACATACAGTTTTATTGCAGGTGTCAGGACAAATGAGGTAACTGGATGAAGAAGGTGTAATAAAATAATTAATATGTATGAACATCGTATGTTATATAAAATATATACATTAACACAAAAGTACATATGTGCAACTGACTTTACAGGGGAAGTAAGGTTGTGTTAAATGTGTCAAACATAAATAATACTTTCTGTAAAGTACAGAGAATGAAGGCAGTGTAATGGATGGCAATCTGTGTGTAGGCTGCAACCGGTCAATAGTGGGAGGGTATGGGAAGGGTCCTTATTTATGAGGGCTTTTCCTGCTCTAACAACCCAAAGGAAATGGGAAATGCAAATAATCTGATGATCTAACAGAGGAAAATGGAAATTTAGAGAATAGAGCAAATGAATAAATGCGTCCAGACTGCAATGTTAAACCTGATCTGATTTTTGGCAGTGAAAACACAAAACTGACTATAATAATTAACTTTAAGATTAAGAGACATGAAGTATACTGTCTTGTTTTTTGCTTGTGTAATCCGTTAGTGTTGGTATGTAGCCTTGTTAGCTGGTCAGCAGAAAAACATCAAAACAAGCTAACGTACTCTGCCATCACCATATCACAACCATATAAGTTAGTTTTGTTAACCTGTTAGCAAGCAGTCGCCCAGTTCACATCCAGCAGACCGGGTGCAGCACTAGCATTCATTTGAAGTTGTGCTTTTAGCCCCCTGATGAATGTAAGTCTAATATTCACTCTTTTTACTCCTGAAGGAAATGTTTGGCTCTAAAGCTGCTAAATGCTCCACTATGTTCACAGCTAGTTGCTAACATTGTCTGTCTGTGGTGCTGTGTAGATAGTGTACAGTGGGCTTTTAGAGCCTTTTTGCTGTAAACAACTAAACAAAATGAAAAGCAAATGAGAACCAAAACAGTTGGGGCCTGTCAACCCAAAACAATGAGCTGAAAGACGCTAAAATGCTCTGTAATACTGAGGAAAACAGCAGAGCTGTGTGACAATTCTTTGTTGGTTCGTCTCTGTAACTGATCACTGTCACATTACACATAGTAAATATAGTTATTGTTATCACACAAATATTGACTAGTGCAGCTTTAA